ACTCTACATATGTCATTACTATGTTTTTTAAGGCAACAATATTAGTTTATGCTAACATAACCATACGTATAAGTTTATTCTAACATTACGCATAGATCCAATAAAACATGTCAAAAAAAATATTTATTATGAATAACCTATTTAAATTAAGTTATTAGATGAATACATGATAATGGTGAATGCTGGCAAAATTTTAAAAATGATACACCAAGTTGAACGTTGTCAACAAAATAGATATTTTGTTGTTCCTCACGGAAAAGAAACATGTAGTTAGCGATTTGGTCGTAAAAGATATATTAATCACCCCACCTGAATAAAAAAGATGGCATGGCCGAATGAGGTAGTGACGTGACATTATAACTTTCTTTATTTTCTTACATGTTATATATGTGGCGTGATGTGACATCATTATCTCTAAATACACAACTACACATAGATAAATAAAAATAAAATAAAAAATCCAAAAATAAATAAATATAAAGACTCATCAGCAAAAAAAATAAAAATAATTATAATAATACTAAAAATAAAAAAATAGAAAAATTAAAAAAAAAATCCAAACATAAAAAAAAATATATTTCGTTCTATTTCCTTAACTATATATTAATAAAATAGTCTAAAACTTATAATTCGTTAATATATATTAAAACTTATTAAAAAAATAAAAAATACTTTGTTAATATTTCGTTAAATATAAATATATTCGCTAATATATATTAAAATATATTTTGTTAATAATAATAATTATATATAATTTATTATTAATTATATTATCTAATATAGTAGTTTACATAAAATTTTATTTACTTAATATATATAATTATTAAATATAAATCACAAAATATAAATTTATATTAAAAGATATATTTTAATTTATTTCAAAAATATATATCTAAAAAAATATAATTTAATTTTATTTAAATATAAATTTATATTTATATTTAATATACGTATATATATTAAATAAATAAAATATTATGTAAAGTATTATATTAGATAGTATAATAAATTATATATAATTATTATTATTAATGAACTACATTTTTCTTTTTTTAGTATTTTTTTAATATATATTAGTGAAATATATTTATATTAAACGAAATATTAGCGAAATATTTTTTTTTTAGTTTTTAATATATATTAACAAAATATAAATTTTTTGAATATTTTATTAATATATAGTTGACAAAATAGAACGAAATATATTTTTTCTATTTTTTTTATTTTTTTTTTGATTTTTTTTATTTTTTCTTTTTATTATTATTATTATTTTATTTTTTCTAATGTGTTTTTATTATTTGTTTATTTATTTATTTTTGGATTACTTTTATTTTTATTTATCTATGCGTAGTTGTGTACTTGGAGAGAAGGATTACATATCACGCTACATAGGAAATTAAGGAAATTTATAATGTCACGTCATTATCTAATCCGACCACGTCAGTTTTTTATCCAGGTTGAGTGATTAATGTATCTTTTCCGACCAAATTGTCAACTAAATATTTCCTTTCCGTGAGGGACAACAAAATGTTTGTTTTGTTGACAACGCCAACTTAGTGTATCATTTTTGAAATTTTGCCGGTGAATGTTTAACAAAATACTTGAATCATATTAATGTCAATAAAAATAAGCATTATTATTGGTGAATGCTCAACAAAACACACCCAAACTTACCAAGATACTTGAGTACAGAATAGGAGTAATTCACGCCATAAATCTCATATTCAAAATCTGTGTCATTATATTGTTCTCTCATATTCAAATCCGATGGTGGTGTTGATTTCTTGCATGACCTGCACACTCTGGAGTTCTTAAATAGTATAAAATGTTCTGGTGTTCCAAATCATGAATTGCACTTAAAGATTGGGACTCCTGTCATGTTGTTGAGAAACATTGATCATTCAATTGGACTGTGTAATGGAACACGTTTGGTGATAACGAAGCTTTTCACTCACGTGTTTGAATGTAAGATTCTAACAAGATCAAATGCTGGATATAAGGTATTGGTACCAGGACTCTCCCTAGCGTAGACAATTTACTCTTATGTTTTCTTACGCAATGACAATCAACAAGAGTTAAGAGCAGTCGTTATTCCATGTCGGACTTTACATGAAAAGACTGGTGTTTATTAGTCATGATCAATTATACGTTGATGTGTCTCGAGTCACTAATCCACAGGATTTAAGATATTAATATGTGGGGGGACGACAATGGGGAAAAGAAAACTACTAAAAATGTTGTCTATCAATAAGTTTTTCATAATTTGTAATACCATATAATATTGTACTTTTACTATCTATTCAATAATAATGTTATTTATTTGTCATTTACTTTTTATGATATATATATATATA